ATGCACCAAAGTGGTTGCAAAGCTGACCTGATTTGATATTTCAGAACAACTTTCGGTGTTTTGCCCATAACTTTTGACTCAGGTATCTAAATGAGCTATTCTTTAATGATCTGGAAAGGTGATAGAATGTCCTATAAATATATCCCAATAGACATCTCGAGAAGAGGCTTCTAGGAGGGTCGAATTGCTGTCCAAAGTTAGAGTCAGATTTGTGTCCGAATTTTTACTGAAATTGTGTTGTGTTCTTCTTTATAGATTTTGGTTCTTTAGTTTGTAAAACTTATTATTTCACTTTGATTCAAGTTATTTCATGTTTATTGAAGTGTTCTTATATATAATCATGGTTGGGTAATCTCTTTCTTGGATCCAAATCAAGGATGATGGTGATTGAGGTGAGTTCTTTAGGATATGAATGAATCTTAATGTTTATCTTCTCATTTTCTTCATAAATGTTTTATTATTGCAAAGAAATTTTAGAAATCATTTAGGTAATGTTATAATCTTGAATTTTTATGCACAAACCTTAGTTTTGGTATAGAGATTGCTTAATTCAATGTCTTACTTAATATGAAAATACTTGTTTATTCTTAAGCAATAATCAATCTTCATCTTTCTAAACTTTATTGTAATATCTTTCGATCTAATATTGCCATCGTTGATATTAGGTTAAGTTATCTTATATATGTTGAAGAAATCACTAATACATCACCATTAAAATTGATTTGGACCAAGACTTACTTTTTCTTATCATTTAAAATCTATTTACACTTTTTCATTTTTGAAAACAAATCCATCAATTATTTTCAACCAAGTTATTGTTAATTTAATTTCTTTTGATTATTTTTTGTTACCTAGCTTAATTTCTAGATCTAACTCTCAATGGATATGACCTCGATCTTACCAAGTTAATTGCTACATCGCACACTTGTGCACTTGCGAGTTAAAACAAGCTGATCATAAAAAGCAGTCAAGTAATTAGTATCAAACATTAAAGTCCATAAATTTACACTATACTTATTCTTACACCATTAGTGTAACCTTTTCACCTTAACATAATAAACTTAGCTAAACATAATGAAAGAAAGAAAAATAAATAAACAAAATAAGAACATAAATAAGATAAAAGTTAACTAAGTTAAGGAAAGGAATTGAAAGGCATAAACTTAATATTAATGAAAGCAAAACTTAAGCATTACAAAAATACAAAGAGAGAAAGTAAGAGCATGATCTTAATCTGGAAACCAAGATGCCTAATTGCATGGCAAATGCCTCCTTTTATAGGCCAAAATTAGAAACTATTGGTTTAATGACTAATTGATGAGTGGGTGACCAACTCTTGACTTGGTGACAATCCTTATCTTCTCTTGTCTGCCCAAAACATCATTGATAATGTCAGAATTGAACCACTTAAAAACATAAAAAGTCATAGGAAATTGTCTTAGCTTTCTGAAAAAAAAAATGAAGGTCATTTGGACTTCTAGAACTCCAGATATAGGCCAAAAACTGAATAGTGTTCGGACTGTAGGACAAATTCAAACTTTTATATTGTTGGTACAATTTGGACATGAAAATGGCTTTTTTAAATCTTGAGCTCCATGAAAGTTGTAGGCCTATGTCTTACCTTTCCATCCATATAAAGTAGACCTAAATCCAAGATCTACAGCTCCAGATATGACCCAATTACCGAACAGTGTTCTTGTTTCGACTACACCAACAACTCTTTTCTAAGTTTGGCCATCTCTTTGTCCTTTCAATTTCAGTTCTTAAACTCATTAATCAATCCTTTCATTTATGTGATAGGCCTGCATTTAAAATAAATATTTACCATAAATTAAATGTATCTTATATTATTAGATATGTTATTATAAAACATGCTTTAGTTAAGGAGTTATTGAGACTTCAAGTGCAAAATGATGATACAAAATCTTGATAAAAATACACTTTTAAGTACTAATCATAATACTCACATTCTCATAAATTAATAGGAGTTCAAAAGATCAAATATAGAATTTTTTTATGGAACAACAAAGAAAATTAAAATAAGAAAATCAACATTCTCCCAATACCCCCACACTTAAAACATAACATTATTCTCAATTTTGAAATAAAAGAAAAGGAATATAGGAGAATGATAAAAATAAAGTAAAATGTGAAAAATAAAAGATGAGGGAAAAAGAAAGCAAATCTATTTTTTTTTTCTTTTTGTGCCGGGTTGCCTCTCAATAAGCGCTTTTATTTTATACCATTGGCTCGATATATTGCATGCTCATTTTTTATATATTGGTTCAGTTAACTCCGCAGAAGCGGTGAATTTTATCATCCAATCTTCATAGAAAGGTTTTAAGAGATGCCCATTGACCTTGAGTACTTTGTTGGTTTCTAAACTTGTAATTTCAACTGCACCATAAGGAAAAACATTAGAAACAATAAAGGGTCCAATCCATTGAGAGCGCAACTTTCCAGGAAAAAGTTTCAAACACGAATGATAAAGAAAGACTTTGTCTCTGACATTAAATTCTTTTATTGTAATCATTCGGTCATGGAAACTCTTAGTCTTTTCTTTGTAAATCCTTACATTCTCATAAGCATCATTTTGTATTTCTTGCAATGTAATTCCAATCTTTTTAGGCACCAAAAGGATAGGCGATCCCCATTCACTATCCATGATGGGGAACAGTTTATAAAGCTTGCAAAGCCAATACTGATTCATGCACGTTTTGGGGAACACATATATGCCTCTCTATCTCTTCCATCTTGGTAAAATTATAGTCATAGTTCAAAGCTATGCTTAATCCATCCTCACTATCAAAATCACAAACTTGCTGCACACACTTATCAACTTAGTCATAACATGTGATAGAATAAACATTGCTATAAGGATATCTCATTGCATCATGAAAATTAAATTCAATTTTTTCATCTCTTACCTTCATAGACAAAGTATCCTTACCATAATTAATTTTTGTATTGGCAATTTTCAAGAATAGTTTCCCAAATAATATAGAAGTGTTGTTTGATGAATCACAAGAATCATGTTCCATATCAAAAATATAAAAGTCATATGGAATGACCAAATTATCAATCTTGACTTAGACATTTTCTATCACACCAAGTGGGTAAACAAAACTATGATCCGCAAGTTGTATTACAATGCTAGTTTTATTCAAAGGCTCAAGAATAAGAGAATCATAAACATGTTTAGGCATAACACTAATAGATGCACCTAAATCACACAAGGCCCCTTTAGAACTAGCATTACCAATAACACATGAGATAGTAAACGCACCTGAGTCCTTTTGCTTTAAAGGCATATTCTTTTGAACAATAGCATATACAACTTCACCCATACTTACCATTTCATGACCTTTTAGTTTGAAAGCTCTCTTGGTAGTACACAACTCCTTCAAGAATTTGACATACTTGGGAATTTGCTTGATAACATCAAGGAAACGTTGAGTTCTACTTTCTTAAAAACCTCTAAAATCTCTTTTTCTTTATCCTTTTTTTTTTTTTTTAACTTAGAAGAACTCATAGGAAAGGGTGGAATTGTTTTAAGACTAGAATTAATTGAGTGAGGAGCTACCTTTGGAGTGTTGGTTGATGTTTGAGTTTGTAGAGGAGGAGGATGTTCTTTCTTTATACTTAATTCGGTTTCTATCTCTTCTTCTTCCTTCATCTTAATTTGTTTTGACATTTTCTCTTCAAGTTCTTTCCCACTTTGCAGCATGGTTGTACTTACATTCTCTATTGTATTCAATGCTTGAGAGGCTAATTTTCTATTCATTTATGCTTCCAATTTCCCCACACTTGAAGTTACTTATTCCCTTTGCTTCTCAAGTTGTGAATACTTGACGTTGATTCCTGTTGAAAAGTCATGACATTTTACTATAAGGTCATAGTGTTAAAGGCTAAAGTTTTCATCATCTCCCAAGGATCATCGCTGGATGACGATCCCATAACATTGGAGTTTGTGAATAGAAGGGGTTGTCTTGCTTGATAATTCTGTTGGGGCTGAAATCCATAGGATGGAATTGTTGGCCTTGATTTCCTTGTGGAGGCGGGTTCTCATAGCGTAAGTTAAGATGATCTTTCTATTTGGGAGTGTAAGAGTTAGAAAAAGGATTATACTTACACTAATGTATAGAAATGTATGGATGTTAGCTTTCTAATGCTACTAGAATCACTTTGTTTCGACCTCTAGAGCTCAAGCTCTACACAAAATGTCAAGTAAAGATCAAATCTATTAATTATCTTCAATTTTTTTTTTTAGTCTTTCATTTAAAAGTGCTTTCAAAACATAAATAAAAAAAATATCAAGGTAATTTATGTATAAAACATAGTCAAAATACTAGGTAAATATTCGTAAAACTATCAAATAATATAATTGCATCATGACTCCTTCATTATTAGATGTAATCTCTTCCCATCTCATTCTCTTTTACATGCCATTCAATTATTATATTGCATATATTTTTAGTGTTTTGTTCTTAGATATTTTAGATTTTTGTTATTATAAATTTAAGAGTTTTTTAAATTATAATTAAAACTGTTAAATATTTGTATTTTTTGATTTAAATTTTTGTATCTTTTGATTTAGAGTTGGGTCTTACTCGAGTTTTTTTAAGCCTAACAAGTCTAGGTTTTTGTGTTAACTAGATTGATTAAGTTTTGTTATTTGTATATCAATCCAAATGAATCTAAATTACAAGTCACTCATATTTTAAATTTATTCATAATATTATACGAGTTTGGAAGTATGATGACAATTGTTTTTCAAAATATTTTTCATCAAAAAATATATCAAAATAATATTTTTTATTTTTAAAAATTATTTTTAATATTAATGCATCAAAATAATATGTAAACAGAAAACAATATTAATTTACAACAAAATTTAAAATAATAAAATTTAAAATTTTTAAATTATTTTAAAAAAACAAAAATAAATATAACTTTAAATCCTATAAGTTTTATACTTAATAATAATAATTAAAAAAAAAAAACCAGCACCTTTCTTTTTCTTCAGTTTTTCTCTCTCACCACCTGTCTTATCTGTCACTGCTCTGTGTTCAAAAACTCGTTATGGCATAAGGTCTGATCATCATTCACTAGTCTCGATTCAGGTTCTTTCTTTCTCATTCACAATGTTCTCTTTTATACTTTTTGACAGTTGTAACGTATGTATAGATTCTTTATATACTTATCTCTGGTTTTTTGCCATGAGCTAAATCTGGATTTTTGTTTTGTTTTTTTCTTGAATTAAGCTTGGTTTAGGAGCTAGTTTTGAATCCAAGTTTTGGGTTTTCTTTGTACGCATGAGTTTAAGGGGTTATTGTAAATTTCCTCAACTATTTACCTTTGCTTGCATGATTGGATGATACAGAGATCTGGGTATTCTTTTATTGTAAATTAGGTTTAGCTAGCTGAGCGACCAAGTTTGTTGTACGGGTTGTTGTTTAGTGTGTTTTGTTTTTGCGGGATCATTCATGAGAATTGGGAATTATAAGGTTTTGATTTATCTTTCGCAGTTGGCCGTGAGTTGGCTGTTTTAATGAAGTTTTAGAGAGTTTTTATGGTTTCAGTGTGTGGGACCCTGAAATATTTTTTTCAAGGCTTATAATGTTCCATTTCTTCAACAAATCATGGCTTTACCAAAATGAAATATCCTTTAGATTAAGAGTTGCTAGGTGACGTAAAACTTATTCCCTTTTCTGGAGTTTAGTCTAATTAAAAATCTAAAAAAGTGACCACAGCTTTCAATGCTGTTCAAAAGTATGAAATAGAAGAATTTGAATAGTTTCTATATGAAGTTCTTGTATGTTTGCAAGTTCACCATTTTTATCACATGCTGTGTACTTTGCAATGTAAACTTGGCGGGGCTTAAGTAACAAGTAAATCTAAAATCATTTCTTATTGTCAGTGATTTATATATTTCTTCCCTCCTTTTTATATACTGCACATTTTCATTGAAACTGATAACTCTTTCCTGTCTTGTTTCCTTGAGCAAGATCAACTTTCACTGAGGCAGGTCATTTGGAGATGGCTACCTATTCGTTCCAGGGTAGAATGTGAGGGATGGTGTTTGCGAAAGAGCTTATTCGAAGAGGTTATAAGTTCATCAGATTGTCATCTTCCATTCCTGAATATGGAGGATGAGAATGGGCTTGAGCTTAGTTTGGGTCTGGGTTGTGGTGGATCATCTTCCAAATCCAAAGGTAAAAATGGCAGCTCTTCAGATACTAGGATGGATAAAGGTGATAGAGGCAACAAATTGGTAGATGATTTTATAAATTTTCTTCATGGTACTACTACCCAGAAGCAAGATTCAAGTGCTCGATCTCAAAGAAGTGATTCAGTGAAACCTCAAGAGATGTTCTTCAATGACCTTACCAAGAACAATGCTGAAGCAAATGCTTCTATTAGCTTGAACAGTAGGGGGCTGTGGGTTTCAAGCACCAATAGATCTGCAGAAAATGATGAAGAAAAAAGACCAGACCTGGGTAACAAGCGTAAACTGTTATTTGATGAGTTAAATAATCAGAAGAAGCACGAGAGAGATGCTCATCATGCTGATTTACATGACAAGAAATCACTTATTTTAATAACCACAGAAGATGGCTCAACTGCTGAAAATGAAGCTTTGGCAGAGTCTGAAGTTGAGGGTTCCACCTCAAGGCTGGCTTCTCACCATGATAATGGTGCGAAACAGTTTATTGGAGTTGGAGGTCCACCTGAGGTTACAAAGGAGGTTCGTGGATTTTCTGATTCAAGTGTTGTGGAGTTACAAGGACAAAGGAGGCTCAATGGTTCTCCAGAAAATGAATTCAAGCAGGGAAACTTAAATTATGGAGTTCCATTCTCAGTCCAACCAGTAAGCATCATGAATGTGCCTTACTCATTTCCTGTGAATAAGCCTAACTCTGTAGGTGCGCCCAGCACTTCAGGCCATCCAATAACAGGCATGATTCAGGTGTTGCCTACTTCAAATGGTGAGCAGCGAACAGGGAAGCAATCTGTGAATCCTGGAAATTTGCAAGTTATGTTTGGCTATTCCCCAGTCCAGCTTCCAACATTGGATAAAGATAATTCCTGGGGCTTGATCTCTCATATTCAACAGTTCCCTGCTTCCTATACTGGCAGAGCTCTGTCAAATGCAGAGAAGCAGAATGATGGGCTGAAGATTTCTCAAGGTCATTCTTTTCACTATATATCGTTTCTTTAATCTTTTCAATTCATAAAGAATATGTGGTGGGAATCTCTAATTTAGAAATGGGTGGGTGAGATTTTAATGCCACTCTTTCTAGCTTCATCACCATGCAGAGAGTCCTGACCTTTCTTGCACATGATCATTATGTGATTTTTTTCTTCTTACATTTAATGCTTATTGATGGCTTTATTCCTTTCCTAGGAAAACAGATTGATTAGTCTTATTAAAACTGTTGAAGATGTGGAAAACTGGGACATGAGTGTCTGTGTGTGGTTATGTGTAAAATTTAACTAGTCAATCAATATCATCTTTGCATGAGACCCCATATATAGTATGGTAAGGACAATAGATTGATTGCATTGACTTTTCAGATTTAACATGAAAGATTATTATAATTGTTCTTCTTCTTCTAGATTATCCCTGCTTTGTAGTCACATCTTGTATGCTTGATTGATTCATTGGCTGCTGATAACGATACTATCCCACTGTTTCTCATTGTAATCATGATTTTAAGTCATTTTATGCTGTTTGTGGATTATGATTTATGATTCAAAATGAATCTCTTTTAGCAGCCATGCAAGCTATTGCTCGAAATTTGACTGAAGTTGAACAACATGAAGGGAGCACATTGGGACAGGCCAAAGGCAACAGCAAACAACTTATTGTAGAGGTAGGCTCCTCTTTTCATACTGAAGATGATGCGAAAGGAAGCACCATGAACCTTAGGCCAAAGGATGCACCCAAACAATCAACAGCAGAAACACTCTGTTTTGATTTTTCAGCCATAAAGCCAGGTATTGGCCCAGCCATGAAATTTGGGGGATGTGGTTCGTATCCAAATTTGCCATGGGTATCTACCACATTGCCTGGCCCAAATGGCAGGACGATTTCTGGTGTTACCTACAAATACAGTGCAAATCAAATCAGGATTGTTTGTGCCTGTCATGGTTCCCACATGTCCCCTGAGGAGTTTGTTCGACATGCAAGTGAAGAGAATGCTAATCCAGGTAATGGCAACGGGTTAGCAACATTCCCAGGAACCAATCCTGCTGCCTCTACTCAGAGCTGAAGTGTACCATTTTGTCCACCCAGACAAATGAGCCGGAGTGAAGCATAGTCTGCAGATGACTCTGTATACCTTTTGTGACCTCCGCCCATGTTTTTGCTTTACTTGATCACTGATTTATTTTCAGCTACATTGGTTACTGCAATCAAATAGTGCAGTTGTATGATATTCAGTGGTCTTGCTTCTTTTCTGTTCAAACAGTACGTTAAATTACTTAAATTTAAATTTCCTTCTTTTTGTCTTGGCAAAACTCCGATATAGTCCTGGCCGTCGAAAGGGTATCTCTCTTATCAAAAAACAGGATTTGAACATGGGATCCTCGTTTAATGAGGGTAAATGTAGTGTATGATAAAGAACCCCTAGTATTTGTGAAACATGCACGCTTGCCTGTGAAGGAGCATCAAGGAGGGTTTGATGACCCTTGTTAGTTACTTGGTCTTGCACATCAAAAGTCAAACAAACTGTTTTCCATTTAAAAACCCAATCTCTTGTAGGATCTTGAACATGCGCATTTCCAAATAATGGAAACAAAATGGGCTCAGTTCTCTTGAAAAAAATAAAAATAAAATTGAGGGTTTTAGGGCTAACAGCAATAAAATGTACAGATTGATGTTGAATAAATATTATGTAGATTCATTTCCTGAAAGAAGGTTACGTATATGCGCTTCTTTAAGATATTGCTGTAAACATCAATAACCTTGTTCTTTCTGGTTTAATCCGTTCTTTTATAATAAAAAAATCTTTTAATTGTAATTATACTTTAATTTTATAATCTATCATTCTAGCGATATTTTTAAGCTAGTCTATCTGAATTCATCACTTGGATTGGACAAGAAAACCTTCTATTGTCTAACCTGCAAAGACATTCAAGGAATAAAAATAATCATGTGCATCGTTAGTTCCGTATTTTATTCTGAAAATCTTATTAGAAGAATATATTAAAAACTTAATATATATTTAAGGATAAAATTTAGTCTATTAGTAACATAAGGATACATGCATTAACAATTGTATTTTATTTTTTATTTTTAATGTTGGATTGCAGCAGTTGTGGCGTTTTTCTTCGCCAAACAGAAAAATGTGAGAAAAGCATGTAACAGTGACAAAAGTATCATATTGGCTAAAAGATGAACTTACCTGCAATGCTTTGTGTCGTTGACTTCTAAAAAATGAGTATGAAGTATGTGCTTTAGCAAAACAACGATCAAGTTCCTTAGGGCAAAACAACTGTTCACTTAATTTTTATAATCATAACTTACCACAGCATGAGTAAAGTCTTTGTGTGACCAAAGTATATAAATGTTTTGCTCTTGAAATAATGAAGGAAACAGGCTGTCTTCAAGGGACCATGCTTATTCGTAATTCTATATTGATGGATCAGTTGGCAAAATTTATTACTAGATTACTAAATTTGATAAGCCTATAATTCTAAAGCATATATGTGTTTGTCCGAACTTGATTTTCATTCATTAACAATTAATGTTTTGAGTGCCCATTACCCCCACCCCTTTTTTTACCCTTACTATGATGACATCAATTAATGTTTGTGAATTGTTTGGTAACCTATTCACCAAGCAAATTGAAAGCCACCTTGATAATCTTATCAACAACTTATTTTGAATTTTAACGATTTCAATACCGTTTGGAAAACGGCATAAACATTGTTTGAAAAAAAATTATATTTAAAATGATTTTTAATCATTTTAATGCCTAAAATTTTAAAAATAAATTTTAAAAAATTAAAATTAAAATTAAAATTATTTTAATATATTTTCAAGTAAAATTTTTTTAAAAAATAATTATTACCACAATATCAAATATTATTTGGCCGACAAAAAAACTCAATGCCATCCCACATAGAGTAGTTTTAAAAGTCTATTATAATATTATTTTAATAATTATTTTTTAAAGTATTTTTATTTAAAAATATATAACAATAATTTTTTTATTTTTTTAAATTTATTTTTAATATTTACACATTAAAATAATGTAAAAATATTAAAAAAAACAATAATAAACAATTTAATTTTGCATTATTGTGTGTATCACGAAGGACAGGAATTATAATTTTGTAGGATGAATGATATTACATTTCTTTATAATGTAATGTTTCTGCACAGGAAGATGAGAACCAAGTCAGCGGCCGATTTTGTGGTATAAACTAGAAGCCTCTCCACCTTGGTCGTCACTACTGAATTTCAAAGTTTAAAAATTTAAACTACAGTATAACATGGTTTATGAAATTAGGACAAATCCAGGATTGCTTTAGAAGAAAACCGCCAAACTAAATAGATACCGGGATCACTCCCATCTTGTTAGCCTTAAAGTAGTTTTCTAGAAACAAGACACTTTTGTCCCGTTCTAGCAGAATGTTTGCAGGAAATCATCAAAAATTAGTTTTGAGCCTTTGATTTTATCATGAGTCAATCAAGTTCTGCATGATATGCTGTGAATGATTTGAAAATTAATAACAATAAATTTGATGAAAATAAATGAAAAATGAGTTTGGATGTGTTGTTTTTTATTAGTATTTAGGCTGGATTACGGTGATTTTAAGGTAAATAAAATGAAGGATAAACTAGAGTGATACTTTGGTAAGTCGATCTGGATGCCACAAAGATCAATTTAGGATTTTGACGCCACACTCTTTGTGATTGAAGAGTGATAAGTCAGGTAGGGTTCTTCATAAATCAATTAGGAAGAACAACTCTTAATTCTCTAAATTAAGCTGAAATCTTGGCTAAAAGTTCTTTATTACATATTTTAATGTCATATTTATAATTGGAACATCCCTCTATAGTTAGGAAAATTCAACATGACAGAAATCAAGCCTAAAAATTGAACTTTGACAAAGTAACAAGACAAATTAAACTAGCACACATTTTTTTACTTGAATTGAAACATAAATAGACCGAATTTAAAATGGCTATAACTTCTTGCATAAAAATCCAATACAATTATGGTTGGACAATCTGGAAAGATCACGTTCTGAACTTGAAATCCACTGAGATTAGTCTTGTTTTCACATGCAACGGATGACTTCAAATTCGGGTTCAAATTCATCTACTGTTTTGACGTAAACAACATCAATTCCTTAACTTATTTGCATTATCAACCCAAATTCAAGTAGCGCAGCATCAAAAGAACCATTAAGAGCTCTTCCCATCTTTAAGTTCCAATTGTAGGCAAATAAGCACCCTTGAACCAATTTGAAACTGATTGCTAATTTTTAACTCCGACACAACTTCAATCATTCCAATTTGACTCATCAAGGCCCTTTGTAGTTGTTTCGCTCTCGCTCTTGTCATTGGACCATCTGAATCCTCTTGCATATTAGATTTACCTTTACGAGATGGATTATCATTCCCATGATGCACATCATTAGCCCCGGGTTGATAATGATTTGTCCTCAAATCAGAGTCGTCATCATCATCCAAGTATGGAGTCAAGTCTTTCACATTAAAAGTAGTTGATACATTGTAATCGCCCAGAAGATTTACCTTATACGCATTATCATTCACCTTCTCTATAATTCGAAATGGTCCATTAGCTCTTGGCATCAACTTGGACTTATGTTTGCTTGGAAATCTGCCCTTACTAAGATGAATGATTGATACTTAAAACTGTATTTTTATCAAGGTTTTATATCATCATTTTGCACTTGAAGTATCAACAACTCCTTAACTAAAGCATGTTTTATAATAATATATCTAATAATATAAGATACCTTTAATTTATGGTAAATGTTTATTCTAAATGCAGGCTTATCACATAAATGAAAGGATTGATTGATGAATTTAAGAACTGAAATTGAAAAGATAAAGAGATGGCCAAACATAGAAAAGAGATGTCGGTGCAGTCCAAACCGGAATACTGTTCAGTAATTGGATCATATCTAGAGCTATAGATCTCAGATTTAGGTCTACTTTATATGGATGGAAAGGTAAGACATAGGCCTACAACTTTCATATGGAGCCCAAGATCTAAAAAGGCCATTTTCAAGTTCAAATTGGAGCAACAACAAAGAAGTCTGAATTTGTCCTCTAACCCGAGCATTGTTGAGTATTTTAGCCATAACTGGAGTTCTAGAAGTCGAAATGATCTGAATGTTTTACACAAGAAAGCTGAGACAATTTCCTACACCTTTCATGCTTTCAAGTGGTTCCAATTTTGACATTATCAATGATGTTTTGGGTAGAAAAAAGAAGATAAGGACTGTCACCAAGTTAAGAGTTGACCACCTACTCATCAATTAGTCATCAAATCAATAGTTCCCAATTTTGACCTATAAAAGGAGGCATTTGCCATGCATTTAAGCATCTTGGTATCTAGATCAAGATCATGCTCTCTCTTTCTCTCTTTGTATTTTTTATAATGTTTATACTTTGCTTTCATTAATACTAAGTTTATGCTTTTCATTTCCTTTCCTTTACTTAGTTAGCTTTTATGTTCTTATTTTGTTTATCTATTTTTCTTTCTTTCATTATATCTAGCTAAGTTAATTATGTCAAGGTGAAAAGGTTACACTAATGGTGTAAGAATAACATTTCCTTTTATTTACTTAGTTAACTCTTATCTTATTTATGTTCTTATTTTGTTTATCTATTTTTCTTTCTTTCATTATGTCTAGCTAAGTTTATTATGTCAAGGTGAAAAGGGTACACTAATGGTGTAAGAATAAGTATAGTGTAAACTTAACATGGACTTTAATGTTTGATACTAACATGTTTTGTATTTGTTATCTTGTTCACTATTTAATACTTTGCTTGTTAAATGACTCATCTTGATTTATGTTGTATAACACTTGGTACAACAAATGCTTAGCACTTTCATAGCCCATACTGTATGGTATAACCGACACCTGAGCTATGAAAGGAACTTGATTTGTTGTTAACATAAGTTATAATCATGAATACTTGACGAGATTTACAAGTATTAGCATTAATCGAGTAAGATGACTAATGTAATCAAGTTAACAATTTATAATCTGATTGGAACCTCCTTTGTGTGTGGTTTCCAATTAAGTAATAAGAGTTTATACTATACTTGTTTGACATACCATTAGTGGATCCTCTAACCTTGATAGTTGTTATTATCATTGTTTAATCGTTACATTAATATTCCATCTCAAAGTTCTCATCATCTTCTTTTTCTTCTCCTTCTTTTTCTTTATTATTATTATTACTACTACTACTACTACTACTATAAATTATAGATGACAATAACAACAACAACAACAATAACA